AGGGTTTTTACAGCCTTTTGTGGATGGCCTTAGGTTTCCGGAAAATATTGGAACACTTGTAGACATAATAGCAGTATAGGCAACCATTAATTCAGAAACGCTACATGTGACTTTCCACTTTCTAGATGTTTCTGACAAAACTTCTATTGAATGCTGGTTGGATACGATGTTTCTCAGAGCTTTTCCATGGTTTTTTCCGAGGGATTTTCTAGATGAAGTGGCTCTATATCTGACTTTAATCACATGGTTCGTTATTTGCTATCGAAATATAAATAACGCTAAACCTCGTACATTTTTATCGACCCAATTTGAGCTAGAGATTAACGGAATAAGTCATACACGAGAACGAATGTTGAATACATACATTTCCTATACTAATTGGAAGAAGAAACGAAGTGAAGGAAGCGAGACGAAACAAAGTGACTCTGGGCAGAGATAGATAGTAAGCCGACTCGATTTAACCAAGGGTGAATGGATATTTATAGTCAGACAAAGATAAGCTACAGACAGGTAATGAATTGAGCAATTAATGAATGCACATAAGATCATATGAAAATCAGCCAGGGTATGATGGTGGTTGGAGGTAGTGAACAGGAAACTCGTATCACAGCATAAACACACGTTCGTCTACCCATTCCGACAGATCACCCAACTGATGCACCAATCGAGCTTCATTATGATTCCTTGAAAGTCAACTACTCAATCATCAACTCCTCTCCTCCTCCTCCTCCTCCTCCTCCCCTTACACCTCCGCCACACACCACCACCTCAACTCACAACCTCACATTTGGCCGAACACCGAGTACTCACTCAGAAATAACCACATGTCAAATCACGATCTCAGATGGAAACAGACACAAGTTGCTTCATTCATTCTCTCCACCTCCCACTCACCTGTGCATCCTCTCATCCTCTCCCATCCAATCACACAAGTTTGTTGAAAGTGTTTGCGACTCAGATATCTTCTCTCGGATTGACAAGTTGACGACAATTGAAACGATATTTCAAGAGACGAACATACTGACGTGTGGATCGCCACTGACTCGAGTGAACACACAGGATTCTGAGTGACGTTCAGTGAATGGGTCGATCATGTGCACAATCATGTTTGTAAGCATGTATGCACACACCATGATGAGGCGATTGTGTGTGGATTGGGGGATTACATGTGCACTACACACAAAGCCACACCGGGACACATATGAGGCGGTACACTAGAACCAGTATGTAAGACAGGTGAGGATAGAACCGACTGATTGTGTGATTGCTCACAATGATAGTCAGTGTGCTTCTCAATTCGACACTGTGCTTTGTTGACGATGCGGTAGATGAACAGCGTGTTTCCGTCCGATCACCAACTCACATGTCTTGCCGATTATTGTGACATTCATCTGTAGATATTTTAACCTCGATTGCTTGTCCAATAGAATGCGTCTGACCGGATAATTCACGTGTTGGTGTCGATGGAGAGAGTGCACATGAACATTGTGCTTTGTGTAGTTTGGTCAGGCAATGTTGTGATGTAGTGTATTTCAGATGGACACCTATAGTGCAGAGTGTTGACGATATTGCTGATGTTGGCACGTTGTAGGTGGTGGTGTCTGTCCGTCGCTATTCGACTATAAGTCATAGACGTTTTTAAAAGGTCTCTAAGATAGTATTCTATCATAACAAGTCGTGAATTGATAGTTATTTGGACAAATGTTAGTCTGGAATCTGTGATTGTTTGAATTATAACAATAAGCATTTTGTAGTATGTAAGAGATTGAAATTTATCAAACTATAAACTAACACCATTGAAGGTTATGTCATACTAACTAATAACTAAGACATTGCTAACTAACCATTGGTCAATTGATTCAAAGCCGAAATTCGATTAGGCAGAACAACCCAGTAGTGTCATTCTTAAGTTGGGCTGTGAAAGAAACGTTTCTGCTAGCGAATGTTAGTCAGAGCTTTCGTTCTTTAAGCATATACCATTTCACTTGCTTTTGTGGATCAAGGTACATAGGCAGTGGTCAACATTTACTTTCAAGTTGAATAAGATAACATAGTTTATTGTGGTTCTATCCTTCTAAAGTTAATCAATTTTAATCACTTCACTGATCCACAGGTTGATTTGATGGGTTTTTAAAAAATTCATTCATCCATAAAATAAACACTAAACTGTGTTTACTTAAGAAGTATCCCTATCTTAAACTATTATTATTAGTAGTAGTAGTAAAGATGGGTTGTGGCTAGCAGTGGACACGAGTTTGGGACTACTCATCTGGATGTTCTTGCACCGTAAAGTCGACGTTCACTTTGGCAATCGAACTCAATACCGTTCGCTTCAAACACAATCGCGTTATCTTCTTAGCTACTGAGTCCTAATAACCACTGGCTTGTGGAATGGGGTGAAGTTTAAATCCATTTAATATTGTTTACATTGATATGTTGGGACTGCAAATGATCCATCTCATATTGGCAATCGAATGTACTTGAATACGAAATTACACAATATGTTGGTAAAATCTGAGAACCATTCAGTAAATACTTCATTTGCACAATATCAATCGTTCCCACATCAATCATTCTCTATTCTTGTTTTCTTTTCGTCGATCTTCCTAATCTTCTGTTGCCAGACATTTCACTTCTGATTGATGATACATACTACTTATATCTGTCAACATTAGTAGCACACGACACACTACAATCAAGTTTGTTTATGGTTAATTTTGGTTATGAATTTTATTATCGCATTTAACAGTCAATATTATTCGGACATTAACAATTTGTCTATTTCTTTGTATTATTATGATCACTAACGATGTCTGTATAAGCGCGGATGCTTGGTCATATGTAACCGTCTACACACATACCCATCACTCCATCATAAATGTTAGTCGCTTAAATATCGCTCGATAAATTATTCATTTTCCTATATATATGTGCATGAATCTTACTCATTGTTTTGTATCGCTCCGCTTCGCCTCGATTCGATTTGACTGTGAATCCGCCTCAGTATACACTTGCAAGTTTCTTCATGCGTATTAATCTATATGCTGAAATTCGCTTCTAACTTTGTTCTCTGCGCTATTCCATAATAATATGTAGTCGGCGTTACGTCCTGCCTTCTGAATTTATACACTGTTGGAATTCCTTTAATAGCGGTTATCAGGTGGGATTGATAGTCAAAACGTCAGAAATGATCTCAAAGTCAAGCCACTACATGGACTCATTGTGTAGTGAACGAGAAGACAGAATGACACAACCGAATCACTTATTAAAATCTGAGAAGCATACAGTAAATATTTCATTTGCAAAATGTTAATCAATCGTCCTAGACTTTAATGTTCCTTCATTTCCACAGCAGTCATTCTCTGTTCTCGTTCTATTTTCTACGATCTTCTTAACCTTCCACCACCAGGCATTTCACATCCGATTAATGATACCTACTATTTATATCTATCGATATCAGTAGCACACATCACAACTGTTCTAATATGAAATTTTATGCGTAAACAATCTTAATTATTTGGGCAATTCAGTTGCTATCCTATTCGCTTTGCTTTAACTATGTTCCTACTTTTACGATGAAGAAAGTAAACTAATCATGTGTAATTTGCTTTCAATACGTTGCATTAAAGTGTTTTGCGAAATTCATTTATGTATTTCCTTTGTATTTGTCTTACTCACTTACTAATTGAACGTGTTTGACTTTTCGTTCGAGTTCTGGGGTGAACGGCTGACGAGTCTCAGAATAAGATGAAACGCGCGTACTGGATTCAAATGCCAGCTACCATCCATCTCTGCTTACAATTGTTTGATTTCGATCAGTTGAAGGGAGTATAACTGAGAAGTTCTTTCTAAGTGGTCATAACAATGCTTACAAAAGAGGGGACTCTGTTTTTGAACTCGGTATCACATATTTATTATCATACATGTAGTGCATACTACTTATATCGACAGATAATACCTATCAGAATTGGAATGCATATCAAAAGAAGATTGAGAAGATTAAACTGAAGAAAACAGAAAGCATAATTGAAAAAAGAAGAAGAAAATTGAAGGAATCATGAAGGATGTAAAAGATAATTGATAGAATATATGAAAGGCAATTATTTAATGTCTGATTTTTCATATGTTATGAAAGAACTCTGTAATTTCGCTCTAAATAATAATATGGTTTGTGCTACTTATATTGACATAAGTAGCATATAACGCTTGTCAGAAATGGAATATCGGACAGCAGAAAATTGAGTAGTTTGAGAAGAAAAGAACAGAAACACAAAGTGATTGATATGGAAACAAGGGAACAATTAAGTCTGAAACAATTAATTGACATTTTACAAATGAAGTATATACTGTATATAATTCTCAGGTTTTAGTAAAATGTTCTGCAATGTTGTGCTAAAATACATTCGATTGTCCCCGCTTGTATTCTCGTTCACCAATAAATATTCGCTTATTCCCATCTGAGTTCTCGTTTACTTCATAAATCCCACATATTTTTTTAGATTCATTATTTAGTTTTGTTATTGATTGAGATCTTGAACCGATTGATGTTAAATCACCATGGAAAACCAGAAAATGCTGAACGACCGTTTCGTCCTATTATGAGACTACTCAGCAGTGTCCATCCACGAGCTTACTGTTGGGATTTGCACGCAGGGCCTTCAGTCTCGCGAGTGAACACTTAACCTATGGACCATTGAACCGGCATCCAACGTCTAACCTCAACCAATACACGAAATTGCGCGACCATCTTCCATTGTAATGAGGTAGATACCTGTCTCTATCTGACATGGAATAATTCCACTGATCACGGCTTCTCATTAGAACTCGGACAATTACCTGACAAAGCTAGGCACTAGTGAGCAGCTGATAATTATCAGTAAAGTATTGTGGAACATAATGTGCCAACTTAAAGAAAGAAATGTGCTATTACGAAATATAGTCATCTTGTATATGTGCACAAATGTAATGAACCATAATGTAGTTAAGTGAAGAAGAGACAATGAAGTTTTAAAATTTTATTGATTAATACCATAATTTTGTTCTAATATTGGAGTCTCACTTCTAACCACTGACTGCATTAGTAGTATTATTAAAAAAGGTATACCAATCATTTATCGTATTCCTAAAAAGCAGAAATGATCGATTTAGAAAAGAAAATCAATACTCAAACTTTATTGATTGATTTGATTGGATAAAAAAATGTATGAAATGATTGATTTAGTTGCTATGCTTTAAAGTATCATTGTCTTTGATTGATACACTTGGTTCATGATGCAGTATGTTGATTTATGTCTATAGTTCTGTTAGAGTTACTGATGGTCCCAAGACCAGGTAAGGGAGAAGGGTTGGGCATAGGATCGACAACCCCACATTGTAGAAAGCAATCTTACTAGAAAAACGTCAACTACATTAAACAAATTAACTTCTAGAGTGGTTGGAATGTTAGAATTTGCTTACCAGATTCCATTCAAAAAGCTTCAAAATATAAATCGTTTAAAACAATAGGCGATTGAATTCCACATAGATACAAACTATCTTAAACCTTTGAAATTGGTTTATATATGCAAATATAACCATGGAACATTGTTCGGAATATTTAACAGACCATGTTTAATTAATACTGTAGTGTATGCTACTGGTATCGACAGATATAAGTAGTATGTATCATCAGTCATAAATGAAATGCCTGGCTGTTGATGGTTAAGAATATCGAAGAGAATGGAACGAGAACAGAGAATGGTTGCTATGGAAACGAAAGAACAATGAAGTTCGAAATAATTGATTAACATTTTGCAAATGAAGTATTTACTGTATATTTTTGTAAGCAATGATGGATAGTGGCTAGCAGTTGAATCCAGGAGGCACGTTTCGTCCTATTTGGGACTCGTCAGCTGGATGTATCTGCATCTCGGAGTTGATGTTTACTCAAGGAATTGAACCCAGTACCATTCGCTTCAAACGTCATCACGTTATCCACTAAGCTACTGAGTTCTGATATCCACTTGCTTGTGCAATGGGATGAATTTAAATTCACTTGATATTGTTCGGCTTGTATCTTCCCATGACAGACTGATCAATTGCAGTCTTAAACTTCAATGGGAAGATACAAGCCAAGCAATATCAAGTGTAATTACTGTATAATTCTCAGGTTTGACTAATATGTTCTGTCATTTTGTGACATGCATACACCGAAAATGTTCAGCATAACAGTGAGTAGTAGTTAAAGAATTGGCTGTTTAGTAAATATCTTTATTTTGCGTTATAAAATACATGAATAAATTGTACTTCGCTTATATAAACGACTGAGTGACTTAAAGCAATACCGAAGCAGTGTGCACAGGATGTACATATGTCAACAAGAGATTGATCAATTGCGGACCTCGACAACAATGAGGAGATACTATCAAATAATGCCAAGTAAATCTAAAATTCATCTCATTGTATAAGCAGGTGGCTATCAGGACTCATTAGTTAAATGGATAACGTGATGGTATTTGAAGCGAACAGTACTGGGTTGGAGTTCCAGAGTGAATTTCAACTCTGGAATGCAGACACATCCAACTAACGAGTCTCATTTAGGACGAAACGTGCATTGTGGATTCCACTGCTAGCCACCATCCGTCATTGCTAACCAAATGAACTATATTTTAGGTTTTTTTAACATTCGAAAGAGAATGGTGGTGGGCAGTCTATGCTGCTCCATGAGGGGTAACAGGCGTAAATAAGTAAACTACACTTTACTAAACCATACATTGAATTAATAAGTTACATCAAAAAGCATTGACATTGTAAATTCAACTTACCAAATGAAGCTAAGAAGGGATCTAGTTTGAATCAATCAATAGGATGATAGTTGATTTTAACACGGAAAAATGTTGATTTAGAAGTATACTGACTGTCATGTTGCACAAACGTATGAATGTTTGCACACAATGAACAATTTAATCTAGACATTCTAATCTATTCATTCTAACAAAATTACTTGGTTATTCATAAGATTACTTAAAATGAGTATGGAAAGTTATTTTCTTAGTTAAAATTTACTAAACCATATAGAATGACAAAATAAAATTTCTTATCTTAGGTGGACATGAACAAATAATTCTAATATTTTCATAGTTTAAAGCACAAGTCGATCTAAGCAGTGTGTATCCACGATCCCGCACTTGGAACTCAACGCAAGGATTGTTGATTTCGCGTGCGAGCGTTTAACCAACAGATCACTGAGTCACGTGCGGGGTCGTGCATATGCACTGCTGTGGGGTCCCATACTAGGACGAAATGGTCATTCAATGCTTCTAGCTTTACACTTGTGGTCTAGCTGAAATCGACTAGTGATTTTAACTGTGATTATACTTCAATCTTCTTAAATCCTCATACTGATAATTCTAATATTCAGAAATGTCAAATATAGTTTTCTTATTACAGTATTCTTACTACTAAACATATATTCATCTACACACTGTAAGTTATCCATTAAGCTGAAAATTTAATGCGTTCGATAGAATAGTTTGATTAATATAGATTGATGATTTCATCTTGTGTCTGTGGATATCATCCTAAAGGAAACCTGTCATCTATGTGCACACAACCTAATTTTTAATAAAATCATAACAGAATTACAATTCATCATCAACATTCTGACTAAACTCAGAGACGTTTGAATTCACTTGGTATTGTTTTTTGTTGTATCTTCCATTGATGTTTAGGACTGTATATGTGTATCCTGTGCGAATTGCCCCGATATTACCTTAAGTCATAAGCTTTTAAAGCAGAGATGGATAGTGGCTAGCAGTGGAATCCAGGAGTCGTCAGCTAGATGTACCTAATTTCCAGAGTTAATATTCATTCCGGAACTCGAACCCAGTATCGTTTGCTTCAAACGATACTGCGTTATCCATTTAGCTACTGAATTTGTATTGATGTCAAAAAAAGAAAAATTGAAAACTATTGATTTCAACAGTTATATCAATAACAAACGTAAATAACAATATTACTTTTTAACGGTCACTTACTCAACTATTGACCAAAGTTTCCTTGAATATAATGAATTCAGAAGTAAATAGAGATATTGATGATTGGTTCAAATGAACGCAAAAAGACCTAAAAGGCATACACTATGAACTCTATAAGACAGCATGTTAAACTGAAGAAAAAGCTCATTTGAAAATGATAAAGTCCACATTGAATTCATTAAAATGAATATTCCAAATCATGTAATCAACAGTTTGTAATCTACATTTTCTCAAATTATATTTTGTGGTGTGTACTACTGATACCGACCGATATAAGTAGTATGCATCATCAATTGAAATTGAAATGCATGGTGACAGAAGATTAAGAAGATCGATGAGGAGAGAACGTGAACTGAGAGTAATTGATGAGGAAATGAAGGAACAGCCAAGTTTTCGACGATTGACTGACATTTTACTGTATAGTTCTCAGGTTTTAGTAAGAGATTCTGTAATTGTGTATTCATATGCATTCGATTATCTCCACTTGTGTTCTCGTTCACTACGTTCATTACATTAAAACATATATATTCACTTACCCAATGAAAGTCCTTTTGAAATGTAGAATAATAGTCATTTTCAAAAGAATGTTTCCCTACTATGAAATTAATGTGTTCATATCATCTAATTACAAGGTCGAATACAAAATATGATGGTTAATTGTATATGTATACAGTTTGAGTTCGTCATACAAGCATCTATCTCCCTACAGAAGACGAGACAGCGAGCTGTTGTAAAAGGTTCGTAGAACACTAACTAAGCTGATTCCTGGATTAGCATAGCTACCATAAGGTGCTCGACTGGCTTAGGCCAGTCATACAGAAGAACCAGGGGCGAATTGATCATGGTTTCTTAAATTACCTAGTGAAAAATTTGCATTTGATATGCTCTCATTTTTCTTGTCTTCCAAAACAGTGAAATTACGAGGACATTTGAAAAACGTTTACAAACCCAAAACAAATTACTTTTCAACTGACTGTTGACCTTCACATCAAGTTATCAACGAATGGAATTCAATGCATTAACACATGATTGAAGCTTCAATTGTCGACTCTTTCTAAAGAAGCTTGAATCACCTAAGAGGCCACCATTGGCAGGACTAACATAGACTACCTAGCCTCCTATCCTTTTCAAACTGAAACTGTAATTGAATACAATTACTCAGTAAATGTATACTAGTTCTTTCATAAACTTCGGTTTACATGAATTTCTTCAGTAAATATCAAATGTCGATTCAAGTAGATAATAACTCACTGAAGACAATAGTGAACGATGGCTCAGTTTCGTGGATCGGTTGTACTTACACATTAACACCTCTGGATGCCGGCCAACTCAGTGGTCTAGAGGTTGAACGTTCACACACAAAATAGAGGGTCCTGTGTTCGAGCACCACGGGGTGGGATCTTGGATGCTCACTGCTGAGGAGTTCCATACTAGAACAAAACGGTTGTTCAGTACTACCAGGTTTTCCATGGTGGCCTAGCTTCAAGTGACTCATGAATACAACTATTGAATTTATAATTATCCACAATCTCTGAATGAAGATTAATATTATAATATTTGATAAAAAGGAAAACAGAATGTTAAATGTTCAGCTTACTTTTCCTCTGTGACCAGTGATGTAGTTGGTTTTGTATATCAACCAAACGATAATAAATTAATATCAGAGTACGTTTTTGTGAATATTATAGTGATTTAATTGTTGAATTTATGAGTCAATTAAATCTAGACTACCATAGAAAACCTTGAAACACAGAACGACCGTTTCGTCCTTTTGTGGTACTCCTCAGCAATTATCATGTGAGATCGTTGATGCGTACTGTTGAGGAGTCCCACAGTGGAACGAAACGGTCGTCCTGTGTTTCCAAGTTTTCCATGTTGATCCAGTTTCAATTAACACACGATTTTAACCATTAAGATAAAAAAATAGTCAACTTATTCAAATATAATTGACAATTCATATACACTAATCAGATGATATAAATATTATTCGAATACTTTAAATAACATACGTACTTTTACATTCTGGTAATGAGGACCTAGATGAACCACAATAACATGAGTGTATTAGAAATATTGAAATGATGACAAATGTAAACATTAAATAACTACTGATAATAGATGAAGTGAATTAAGTAATAAACTTTGATATTTATGTTTCTAAGAACTTCATCAATGGAAATGATGGTACTTTTATGTCTATAAGTGTTTCAATCAATCAATCAATACTGTTATTTAATTGGTTGAATCAGTAATGCAAGCAGTTTATAATATAGGCGTCAAAATCAAGTACGTCTAGTATAACCCTAAAGTAATGATGACTATCTATTGACTTAATAGTTCCTCCCCTTCATAGATATACATTTCAATGTAGACTATTGTTTTCAATAGATTATTAGAGCTTTAGTGTTTGAAAAGATAAAGGATTATCAAAAATCTTATTGTTTTGTTGTTAATGTATGTCACACCCTGATAAACACACTCTGATAAACATTGGTAGATATTTTAAGTGATTGATTTCTTACAGAAAGTTCAATCGTTGAGATCATGAGTCATTTGAAGCCAGATCACTATGGAAAACCTGGAAGTACTGGATGACCGTCTCGTTCTATCATGGGACGCCTCAACAACGCGCATCCAAGATACCGCCTAGCGGGATTCGAACTCACGACCTTCAGGCTTGTGAGCAAACGTTTAACCTATTTGACCACTAAACCGGCATCCAACGGTTTTCATGTCTAACCTCAACCAATACACGAAATTGCGCGACCATCTTCCATCGTAATGAGGTAGATATTTGTCTTTACCCATCATGGATTAGCTCCACTGGTCATGGCTTCTCATTAGAACTCGGAAAATTTCCTGACGAATCAAGTCACCAGTGAGTACATGGTAATTATTAGTATACCGTTGTGGAGATTATTTCAGGTTTTCAATGGTGATCCAACATCAATCGGTTCATGATCTCAATCAAAAACTTAATAATCTTCACAACCCTATACTGACAATTCATTGTGTATGTGTACCATACTTGGACGAAACGGCTGTCCGATGATTACAGGTTTTCCATGGTAGTCTAGATACAACTAACTCATGAATTTAAATATTTTATTCGCTTCTAATTTGTATTTTAAGAAAAGTGTTTCTGTTGCTAAGCCCTCTGAAAATCATTCTTTTTAATTTTATCGTTCAAATCATTCATCTTGATACGTATGTTTGAGAAATGAATATCAAACCGCTACCTCTCCGATTGAGGAAACGTGCGTGCTGGACTTTACTGCTAGCCACTATCTATCATTGTTTATAAAAGTAGTATTGGATAAGATTTTGAAAGATATTTAAATCATTTACTCCACCCATTATCAGGTTGAAACATACAATACAACATAGTTACATAAACAAATCAATCAGATAAATTGTCATACGTTTTGACAACAAGCTTGATGACTAAAATGACTACTTTCAGTATTATTAGAATGCTAACATGCTAACATTATAATCTAAATCATTTTAAGTCCATTGAATAAATATTCATTGTTTTATAATACAATACGACATCTAATAGTACTTTATACAAAGGGGATCATTGCATTGGTGTTTATCTTATTTTAGCCTTTCAGACATTACCTAATTATATACGCCTGTTACTCCCTGTGGAGGATAGGCCGTTGATCAGCATTCTCCAACCCACTCTGTCCTGAGTCTTCTTTTCCAGTTCTATCCAAATAATGTTCATTCTTCTCATGTCCGTCTCCATTTCTCGGCGTAATGTATTCCTTGGTCTTCCTCCTCTCCTTTGACCTTAAGGATTAAAAGTGAGGGTTTGCTTTGTGATGAAGTTGGGTGTGTTCATCAATGTATGTCCTATCTAATTCTAGCGCTTCTTCCTGATCTCTTCTCCCACTGGAATTTGGTTTTTTCTCTCCCACTGTAGGTTGCTTTCAAACATTACACATTACGATATCTGAAGTTAAGAGTAAGTTTGATGTTGTAAAAGAAAAGTTTCATAACAAAGAATATGTTTCTAATATCATTTCATTTTAACACATTTATTAAGTTTTAATTGCGATCATGAACCCATCAATGGTAGACCACCATTGAGAACCTAGAACCATGGTCTCAATTAAAACTCAACAATATCCACAGCCTTATGGTGATAATTATCATGCGTTCACTAGTAGTTCTCAGGGTTCTAGTGAGAAGTCGTGACCAGTTGAATTCGACCGTGTCTGATGTGAGGCAGTTATTCACGTAAATAATAGAGGACGGTCGAGTAATTGGTTGATGTGAAACATTACCAGCTTTGGATGTCAGCTCAGTGGTATAGAGGTTAAGCATTCGCGTGCGAGACCGAAAGCCGTTGGTTCGAACCCCTTTGGTATGGGATCGTGGGTGTGCACTGTTCAGGAGTCCTATATTAGTACGTAAAGGTCGTCGAATGCTTCCAGAATTTCTATCATGGTCTAACATTGATCCGTTCAATCAAAACCCAACAATCTCCACAACCCTGCATTCATAACAATCTAAATAACGTTCACTTATTAAATAAGTTCATCCTTACTTTCCTAATTATCAACACTAAAAGTAGCAAACGGTATTGAATCTGTTAAATTTATGATATTCCGAATATCGGTGAGACTATAATTTATGGATGAGCCATTCAAAAGCGTTTTTGAGGAATTTCAAGTTCACGGCATCAATTTCAGTTTCTGTTACTCATGCACGATCAGTTCACAGTGGATTTTAGCGAAAACGTGATAATTGTAAATTAAGGCAATATCGAGGCATACGCACAGTATGCACATATGCCAATAAGAGACTAATCAATTACAGTCCTAAACATCAATGAGAAGATTCAAGTAAAAAATACCAAATGAGCTTAAACTTCAGCTCATTGCACAAGCAAGTGGCTATCAGGACTCATTAGCTAAGTGGATAACGCGATGGCGTTTGAAGAGAACGGTACTGAGTTCGAGTCCCAGAGTGAACATCAACTCTGAGATGCAGGTACATGCGGCTGACGAGTCCCAAACAGGACGAAACGCGCCTCTTGGATTCCACTGCTAGCCACTATCCATCTTTGCTTATAATTTTCGATTGATTTACTCGTTATGAGTTTTGGTTCAACATTCAACATCCGTTTTGATTCAACGTGACGATCATTCAGTATAGTAATTGTTTTCTTTTCCCAATATGATATTTTATTCTGCATAATATGCGATATTCTTGTACTCCGTTGACATGAACTATAATCAGTCTCTGATTTGCTATAACTGAGTATATGATTTCATCTTAATTATTAATCAAAAATGGGTGTACAATCAATATAGAAACCAGTGTATTTTAGACGAGATCCGATTTGTTGAGGTGTAATAAATCTTCACTTATACCAGTCTTTATGTTCTTATTTTTGCATCGTGTGAATTGCCGAGGTCCGAGTATAAGTGATCAGTGTTTTTTCTGGCACAGCAATCAGCGACGACCAGAAATGACATTGTCTCCCTTGCATTTCTTTTAAAAAAGGTAAGATTCCCTAAAGGAGAGATCATTTTACTGATTAATATGAAACATTTACTTTTATCATTAGGACATCTATGAACCTTATCATATGAAAGATTTATTTGACTATATTATTTGAAAAAACACTGTATACAATAGAAGGAATAATGTCCAGTGGGTTCGTTTACGGACATTTGGATTTTCTTTTTTGGATAAGTAAGTGTACGGTCAAATGAAGCATGGAATACAGTCGACAGATAGGATGCAATTGGCCAATCTAGACTTAGCAGATGATATGGCTCTTCTATCTCAAACGCAACAACAAATGCAGGAGAAGACGATCAGTATAGCAGCAGTCTCATCAGCAGTAGGTCTCAATATAAACAAACGGGAAAGCAAGATTCCCCGATACAACACAGCATGCACCAATCCAATCACATTTGACGGAGAAGATTTGGAAGATGTAAAAACCTTTACATATTCGGGCAGCATCGTTGATGAACATGGTGAATTTGATGCAGATGTGAAAACGTGGATCGATAAAGCAAGGGAAGTATATTTACAACTGAAGAACATCTGGAACTAAAATCAACTATCTGTCAACCAACACCAAATTCAGAATTTTCAATACGTATATCAACACATTTCTACTTTTCTATACTAATCATAGGGTAGATAATCAAATATCGTATAGAAAGATATAGATAAGATATTGTAGTGTTATTCTAAACCATAAAATAACTTAAGGATTAACAGGGTAAATTCATGATTACAACAAATTTATTAGTTGAACTCATGATTCAATAAAAGCCAAATCACCATGGAAAACCTGTAAGCACTGGATAGCTGTTTCGTCCTAGTATAGGACTCCTCAGCAGTGCGCTATCATGATCCCTCACCGCAAGATTTGAACCTAGAACCTATCGATCTCACACGCGAACACTTAACCTCTAAACCATTGAGTCGGCCGGTGTTGAACTGTGTCTAACTTCAACCAATTCATGACAAATTGTTTATGTAAGTGATGTCCGTATAAAATCTCCATGTTCTATGGTAATAAATAATTCTGTCAAATGTTATCTTTAGTTGATCAATCAATTACACTACTTAATTTATGAGTAATCAGTCATGTTTTTATTTATGAAGATATTTAGAATAAGTACGCATAGCTTCTTTTATCATCGGAACCATTACATATGGGTATATATGGGTATTCTGTGCAGACTGACTCGATATTGCCTTACATCATAAGCATTATAGGTAGAGATAGATGGTGTCCATCAGTAGAATCTAGGATATATGTTTCATCTTATTTTAGGTCTAGTCAGCTTGATGCATCTGCATATTAGAGTTGATGTTCACTTCGAGACTCGAACGCAGTACCATCCGCTTTAAACGTCATCACGTTACTCACTTAGTTACTAAGTCCTGATAGCCACTTGCTTGTGCAATGGGATGAAGTTTTAATTCATTTTTGTATTGGCGGTTTGAATTTTCCCATTAATGTTTAGGACTGCAATTGATCAATCTCAACCAAAAACAATCTCCACAACCCCATACTGATAATTAGCATGTGCTCACTAGTGACTAGCTTCGTGAGGGAATTCTCGGAGTTCTAGTGAGAAGTCGTGACCAGTGGAGCTAATCCGTGTCGGGTAGAGACAG